CGGGACGCAGAGGCGCATCGTAAAGCGATAGAGATGGGGCCGCTTGGGCGAGCACGTGATCAGGATGAATCGCGTCAAAGTGAGCATGAGGCTGACTACGAAGGCCTGGGAACAAGAGCTATCTTTGAAAGGGAGAGACCCTTACAAACTGAAGAGAAACTTTCGGGCGAGATGGTTAACTTTAAAAGCATCGGGACTCCCGTTCTGTCACAGGCAGAGACAGCTAGCATCGGGCCCGAGGAAAAGCTAGGTAACCAATCTGGAGCTTTGTCTCCACAAAGTGAAGGCAGCGTACTTCATAGTATGAATGCCAGTGCTATGAGCACGGTGATAAGTTCCGTTGGGAAGAGTCACCGTTGCAAATATAAGGCGAAGTCGAATAACGCCAAGCGCGCGAAAGTGGCTAAACGCCATGACTCTCAAGATGCCATACTCAATGTCAGGGCTGAGGTCGGGACAAAGCTCAATAAAAGAAGGTTGAAGTTCAGGCCATTGCTAAGATCTAGGTCAAACGCGAAGCGCGTCGCGAAGAAAGGAACTTCAGCAAAATTCCGAAGCCGAAATCTTCGTTTGGTCTCATCTCCAGAGCAGACACCTAACAATGCCCACAAAGATAAGTTGGTTCAGCCGCATAGAGTTTTGGCAGAGCCTGTCGAAGGCAGTGCGCTTGTGAATAAGTGTGTCGGGGCTTCCACCATTCCTAGCCATTCGAAGAGAAAAAGGCATCGGCAAAAGCGTAGCGCGGAAGAGACGAGAGGCGTCAAACATGTTAAAGCAGCTGTTAAGTGCGGTGACGTCTTCATTCGATACGCCAGGTTCAGGGCTAGGCGTAGGATCGCGAAAGGGCCCTGCAGGAAATGTTTGAGGCTCAGACCATCACTGAGATGGAGATTAGGGGGGAAGCACGTCAACAAAGAGCAAATTTCAAGGAAATTGGAACGCCGAAATCACTGCCTGGTCTCATCCTTTTCTCTGCCGCGTAGATGCAAGCAAATGGGGAAACGTTGCGAGCGCTTGAGCTGTAACACAAGCGGTTGTTCCCCACCGTGGCGAAAGGGTCACTGGTCGAACGGGTGGCGTAAACGATGCAGCGCAGATGCCCCTTTCTTCGAGTTCAGCGGCTGCGGGTCAAAAGTCGCTGCTACCGAGTTCGGCGAACAGGTTGATTCGTCGTCCTTTTGTCCAGACCGCAACCCTCAGAAGCTGTGGACTGCGCGACTCCCCAGAGTTCGCTTGAGAGAGTGCCGCCTCGCTAATACGAAGAGTGTATTCTTTGTATTTAATTTTGAGAATAACTTTTTCTAGTTTTGTCGTCTGCCGATGAGCAAGGAATGGTTCTAAATTTTTGTAAGTTTTACTTGCCCTGTCATCGGCGAAGCTCACGTTAATATGTTTGTTCGATTAAATTTGTTTTCATAATATTTCAAAGGTAACAGTTAGTGTGCTTTATTTTAACAGAGAAGGCATAGTAAAAGCCCCTGTTTAAGATACCTTCTGTGTTTAGCATTGCGTGTTATTTTGCACGTCGGTGAAGGTTAACTTTTAACCTTGTTCTGTCTAATGCGCGCAAGTCTGATTTTCAGTCTTATTTTCTTAGTTTTTTCAAGCATGCTTTCTCTTGTCGTGATGATCGTTGGCGGCGCGCATTGAATGATTGCTTGTAGGATGACAAACTTTGTTATGTTTAACAGTCTGACGCTTGCAAGCGACGCCAATGTGCGTGATTTTGAATTGCTTGGTATTCTAAATTGTAGTTTCGGGGCCAAATTGAAATAACCTCAGCAGCTTCGATCGTCCCTATTCTGCCTAAATCACAATTGAGATTCGCTCAAAAAAAAATGTTTGGTTCAACAGTGTCAGGCACTGACACTTGGCTAAAGGTGTGTCCACATTATGTATTGCTCCTCAGATGCATTGCTCGTGATGCTATTTTTTTAGCTCAGCTAAATCTCGAGGAAATATTTTCGTTTCTGCTGGTCTGGCGATTTGATCAACATTTGGAGGGTGCTTGCTTTGGCCAGAGTGGTTCGGCTTTGTGTTCGACTCCGTCGTTCCAGTGAACCTCTGCAGGCCTATGGAAGGGCGGAGAAAGCGGAACGGCTACCGACGGTCAACCAGCATCCCTCCTTCCGAGCCGCGCTGACTGCTCAAAACTCCGGATGCATTGTCTGGCGGCGGGGGTGCTGTTGTGCCACAGACATGTTCCTCGTTCGGGAGCACGTATCACGAGATCGAGCCCTGTTCCGACGAACTGTCTCCCCCCCTCCCAGCGCCGCCTTCCGTGCAGAAGAACCGTGCAGTTCCGGGGATAACGTCGCTTCCTCCGCCGAACCACCTTGCAGTTCCGGGTATGGCTGCGTCTCCTCAGCCGAGCCACTGTGCCGTTCCGGGGAACTGGTCTCGCAGAAGAGTCCCAAAACGCTATTTAAGGCCGTGCCGGCCCCATGTTAGGGGGATTTTGCCCCAGCCGACGTTGTCGTGCTGGCCGGCTCTGTACAAACGACAACCTGCTACAGTAAACGCTCTTTTTGTTGCTGTTTTCAAGACGGATTGCCTCCCTGTTTCGCCTGTGGGCTAAGGCTTCAGCGAAGTCCGCTCGACGGCTCGCCGCTCTTCGCCACCGCTACCATCGCGAAAGAGCAAAATTCCTAACAACGTTCACCCAAATCTGAGCACACGGGCCTACCGCAGTTTCACCTCTATCTAAAATGCAGCCACCGCAGCCGGCATTCGATCCCCCGACCTGCGGGTCAGCAGCCGAGTACCTTAGTCACTCGACCACCATGGCGGGGTGAGAATGAACATTGCTTAGTTATCTTTAATACTCATTGCGTGCTTTTCATTGCCTAATTAAACTACATGCCACACTTGCTTCATGATGGTATGGCAATGACTTTATATGTTCAGGGGATGACAACAACGAATGACGTCAATGGAATGACTATGCATCAGTATGACAAAGGAATGGCTCGCAATGTGATGACGATGGATAAGTGCAAGCACGGTGGATGAGGGTTCACCGTAAATGCCGAATAATAGCTAAATTTTACAAAGCAGCCATTAAAATAATATGACAGTACGCTGGTAACGTACTCTGTATAGCCCGAATAGTGCTATCTAAACGTGTGCCGCATTCCAAAATTAGGCTAATATTCGACATTCTGTTTATTTTTATTCTTGTGCTTCAGGGTTTCTGAGAGAACAACATCTACATCGTGTTTATCAGCACTTTTCTTTATACCATGCGGGAAATGGTGAACATAAGGAACGATCACTGGCGTTCGCCTTTGTCCACTCGAACTTGAGCGAGAGGGCTCCTCCCTGACGGAAATAACGTTGCGCTGCAGCTCCTTGTTGGCTACAGAGCAAATCAGCTTATCAGAATGCAGGGCCTTCTTAATCCTAACAACGTGCGTGACAATTTCTTGAGACCCTTGAAGATGAAGGTACCTTGTGGTAAAGGTTAACGAACCTGAAAGTCACGGAAAGAACGTTTTCCTTGTCAAGCATAGGAAATGGGTTTGCAAATGGCACCGATGGTGTTGCGTACCGCATTCCACTGTCTTGGGACAAGAAATGCATTGGCCAGACAGGTCGCTGTCTTAGTGCGCAGCTGAATGAATACGCATGTGCATTGTTGACTCATACGGGTAGCTTGGCCACAGACTGCGCTGCGTGCAAATGTAAACCCTCTCTTTCTGGCTCAAAACTGTTGAATCGCGAATCTGATCAAACAGAAAGAAAAATTGTTGAAGCGTTTCGTATTCATACAAGGGAAAGATGCGTTAGCTAACCGACAACCGGCCTATCTAAAAAAATGCGTTATGATAGGCAGACACATATCTTCGACATGATGGCTTTGCAAGAGCATTTTGAAAATGACGTGTTCACTGATTTACAAAATGTGTTTCTTTCTTTGGTGTTCATTTGATTTTGTTTATTTTCTCTTTTCGTGTCATACATAGGAGTGTTTGTGACGTACAAATAAAACAGTTGTCAGCGCATCACCCAGTGTGTGTCTTCTTCTGTTGTCACTTATTCCAGTTCCTGGCTGCGCGAATAAGCCATGCATTCGTACAAACGACCCACCCTAGAAGCTTTACTTGTGTGTATTTTGATCCAGCCTGTGAGTATAGCGTTTCTCGTCGTGATTGGCTAGTTTCGCTTCGCTTTTGTGCCACAATTCTACCTCTTATTATCCATGACTCACACTAATATTTTCTTAGAAAATTGCGCGGTCGAATTGGAACATCGCCTTCGTGAAAGCAACCAGACTGCGACTCAAGAAGACGCCACGGAAACGCTTTCTTCATTTATGTACTTGCCGAAAGCGATGTGCAAAACTAAACTGAGATCTGCGGAGTCTGAAAAGCATCCTGTGAAAAAGTCGTTCCGCTCTTGACAAGCCGTTGTAAAATATGGCCCCACGTTTCTCTCGTACATAGAGACCGTTATAGGGACCGTGAACTAGGCTGAAGCAGTGTTTACTGGTGAAAGCATATCAACAGTCTTATGTGTCACTGCAGGGGAGGAAGAGAAACGGGACATTCAAAACGTGCCACCTGAGAAAAAAAGAAGTAATAAATCAGGCTTACACGAAGAAAAAACACAGAGTCTGACACAGGACAAGCTGCCAGAGGTTAACAACTGGCTTTGCGTGCGACCCTCGACAGCCATTCAGCTACGGCGACAGAAAAGAAATAAATTAAAGAAAAAAAAAGTAGAATGAAGGTGCGATAAGCCGAGCAGACGAACACACGTGGAAGCGGTTAAGTCACTTCCTCAGGCAGTAATGACCTCACTTTCTACGTCACTGGTCACGTGTACGGCTCAGCTGTCGCGGCTTCCGGGAGAGAGCTGTACGAAGCAGCGCCGCCGCAGCCGTGGGTCGCAGTTTGCAACGCCGCAGATCGCATCCGACCTTGAAAGCGCGCGAAAAAGCGAGCGTGCTGCGCGCTTGGAGCCGAGTGCGTGGAGCCAACACCACCTAGAGGGTGGAGCGCTGCGTTGCGGTCTCGTCGGCGGGAGGTTCGTTCCGACTGCGTTCTTCTCCGACGGACGCCGCCGCTCCATCCGACGTCTCGGTGAGCTCCGGGTACAGCGCGAGCCGCCCAGAATCTACGCACCTTTTCCGCATTGTAGTCGACACCCCACCATTTGTGTGAGTACTGCAGCCTTTACGCGGACATTTTCACGGGGAAGCATGTTCGGACAGGTGGCGCTTAATGAAGCATACAATTAAGAGGTCGGTCGGTCGGTCGGTCGGTCTTAAAAGAAAGTTGTGCGAAGGCAGCAGATCTTCCAAGGGCAAACGATAACGACACAGGACATGAAATGCCGCACAAGGCTACTTCGGACCCAGACTTGAACCTAACATCTGTGAGAGAAAGCGCAGTCAAGACCCAATACAAGATAGACGTAAAAAAGAAAGATGAAGAAAAGGTTCATCCATACGCAATGTTGATAAGTCAGTACATGTAATGTATATCGTACTTGGTCATTTTGTTATCGTGATTTTGTGCCACGGACAGTTCTAGTTGATTTCTAGGTTGGTTGTTCCTCAGATACTTCGCGCAATCCACCGCGACTTATCGGCCATGAATCTTAAGGGGCCTTGTTTACTAAATAGTCCCGGTGAAAGAGTTGCTTTCGAAATCAAAGTTTAGCACCGACTTATTGTTCATGGATGGATGGTCAAACTTTATAATCCCGAGACGCGACTATATCGCGCAGTGGGCTTATTCCGCGCATTGAACCATGTAAAAGGGAGTTTCCGCTTTTCTATCCTTTTATTGTAACGTGAGGGTACGAGAAATGACATGAACAAATACGGGTGCACGCAATTGCGCAGCTGTTTCTTCTGTATTACCCAGCTCTATAAGGCTTCGTTTCCACCCATCCTACTGGTGTTGCGCTTGTGTGGGTTCAAGTGTGATTCGGTTTCTTTCATTTTCGCCCTTCTTCCATTCATTTGAGTGAGCGACTAAGTGATGTTACAGTGCATAGCGTGCATTGGGGCTAATTACGAGGGCGCATGTTTGAATCCCGATGATGGCTGTTGTACTTCAAGTGCAGAGCATCTAGTCACGCCAGTGAACTACGGCTTATAGAAGTTCATGAAAGTAGTGTTAGGGCGCAGGTAAACAAAGAAAAAAGTATTTTTAGTACATGCACTGTCTTTGAACAGACATTCCCGTCAATTGTCTAGCCGCATCTTTTCTTCCAACTGACTGCCTATGCCGCGCAGCCGATATTGTTCACGCCATTGCAGATGTTGTTCTTGGCTTTAAGATGCTGCCAAGACCACCGCTTTCGCGTAGAGTGAAATTCATTGCGGGGGTCAATTAGACACATCTTCGTTCTTCATGGTCATTATCGGTTGTGTGAAATCGGATGGGATCTGTGCCTCGGGTGTGTCCGCTTCACTTTGTCTTCGAGGCCTTACAGAGGTCGCGTTAACTGCTGCGTCGCTGTTTTTTTTTATTATTATCGAAGTGCGTGTAGAAAAAAATGTACGTGCTGGGGAGATTGTCATGTAGTATAAAGACGAGACTACCGTGAATTTGCGCAGAAACTAGTTTGGTTGGCATGGCGGTGCATGAAGTGTTGGCCGAGTAAACGCGATACTCAAAGCGCATTCACAGCTGTGTCTGCACTTTTCGCGCCAAGACCTGGAACTGGCGATGTCGAACTGATGCATGCGACACGACAATCCTGGCATCTTTCTGGCAATGTTTAACAATTCTGGCGGCTTTCGCCACACTCTCCCCAACCGTGTTGAAGAAAGCGAACGCTGTCGCATTATTGCGTTCTCTTTCGAGCGAAAAGGGAATTTTTATTTACTCCCCGTGGTCATATACAACGGGACACAGATGGATTGCAGTGTATTTGAAGTGTTTTACGTTGTCACAGGTTCCGCACAGTTTAACGACAGTCTCTGCTTTACATATCCATATCAGTGGGACACAGCAGAAACAAAAAATTGTGCGTAGACCTTGTATCGGGCCACAGAGCAGGGGGACTACTACTTGCGCAAAAGCACAAGTCCACCTTTTAAGAAACTCCTCCTCCGCTAGCAAGAACTGTTTGCTAGTGGTTCATTACAATATTTTCTACGTTCAGAACAGAATCGCCAACTGCTTCCTGCAAACATTGACATGGTTCACTGCTAGCCTTCTGTTCTCGCTCAAAGCAAAGAGCCCTGCGGTTTTCACTAGGCGTGCTAACGCTTCGTTCGGGCACCGTAATCTCATAATGAACCTCTCCTTTTGCAGTGGGTGCTATGCTTTCTCCACGAGGGAACAGAATGTTGTGACCACGCAGCACGAAAGCGACGCAGACTTGTTGTCTTCGTGTTTTATGCAGGGCACGCACTGCTCCAGTTTCTCGTTATGCTACTTAAACATCCAGTCCATCGTGGGCAGCACACACCACCCAAAAGTGTCCATCCACATCTGAAGCTGTGGGTTTAGGAGAAAAAAATTGGTCCCGAATCTTCATATTACACTGCAAATGTCGGCGAAAGACGATAGTCTTGCGTCTGGAGAGAGTGAACGAAACGTTCATTTGATGTTCTGCGCAAGGAAATCTGTGAATTGTATTCTGGAGGCGCTGCGTTAGAGTGCCTCGAGCGTGCAGCGCAGGCAAACGAGCGCATCGAGGCACGTTAGACACGAGCGCCATCTGGCAGTTCTCTTCGAAAACAAAGGCGTGCGCACCCGCGGAGAAAGATGCGCGCCTGTCTCGGAGGTGATAAAGCGTAGAACGCAAAGCGACGGGCAAGTGCCACCACCGTGCCATCTTAGCAAAGCGTTGCAAACACTTACCTTTTTGAGCATCATCGCGTTGCACTGTCAGCGCAGCGTGATAAACGCTACAGTCCTTATAGGTACTTGTATGTGCCTTCTCTAGTATAAAGGCACACATACAAAACATCTACGTGTTGTTGTGGCGCCTCAGATATGCGCAATAATTGCTTTTTAATTGACAATCGCGCAACTATAAACGCTGAATCTTGAGCAATATTGGTGGGTGCAGCGGATGGGGTCAGCCGTTTGGTGCCGTTTGTGGTATCGTTAAGGGCGGATAAACAGACAAATGTACAGACAGATAGATCAAAATTTTTCCGTCGAAGGTCCCTACGAAAGTCCTATCGTCTTTAAAAATCGCAGCATATTCATGGAGTGCATGATGATGAGGGGGACGGAGCATCTGTCAGTCCGTCGGCGCTTCTGTCTTGTGCTTCTGGAATCCGTCTGTGCGTCTGTCCACCCGTCCGTCCATCTAGGGAACACTTCAAGTACTACCCTCTCGCATCTTTTTATCATATATATATATATATATATATATATATATATATATATATATATATATATATATATATATATATATATATATATATATATATATATATATATATATATTTATATTATAAAAGTACCGTCACCCAGCGGACATTCCGCGGACTAAGCGAGAGAGGGCACGGCCCGACTAGAGGAGCGGCACGCGCACACTCTCTTACGGCCTGCGCTTCGTATCTAGTTCCCACCTTTCACTGCTACTGGTTCATGGCACTGCGGCCCAACCCTGGCTAAATCTTGCTAAAACCAAGTAGGTTACGCCCAGCGAGTTTATCGTGGCAACCTTTTCTAGTCAGATAGTGCTCTAAGTACGTCCTTCTGTTTCTAGATTGTTTTAGTAAGCATGAAATTCAAGCCAAATTTTATTGGATATTAAGTCACCCATACTCGTCTCTGTAGGTTATTTCATCAGAAACAACTGTCTTTTCAATTGATTAATGTGCATGGGTGTCCTCCTCAATTCAAAAGAGTGCGCGCGTGCCACTCCTTAGTCCGGCCGTTGAGATGGCTACCTACTACTACTACTACTACAACTACTACTACGATGATAGTGACTTCTATTACTACTACTACTACGATGACAATGACTTCTTCTTCTTCTTTTACTACTACTACTACAACTACTACTACTACACATACATCGCGGACGCACGACCCGCGGCTTAAGGAGCTTTGCCCCCTAAAAATCGCAGCATATCCACGGAGTGGATGATGATGGGCGAAGCGTCCGTCCGTCCACCTAGTGAACACTCCAAGTACCGTCATCTCGCATCTTTTCATCATATAGAAATATTATAGAAATACTGCCACAGTCTGAACCAATGAATAGAAACAAAGAAACTCAGATTCACGAGTGCCGGATAAGTCTGAAGGCCGTCCCCTTGCTTGATTGAATCCGAATTCGCAATACCGGGGTGCTGTACCACCATGCAGCGGACATTCGAAGGACTAAACAAGGGGTGGATACATAGTACTTCTACTACTACTACTACTACTACTACTACTACTACTACTGCTACTTACATCGCGGCCACACGACGGCTTAAAGAGCTTCGCCCCTAATAAGTTAGGTACTCTCCTATGGGAGAACAAAAAGCCGTTCCGTGGGCCTCACATTCAAAGAGGCAGTGTCGCCTTGTCTGCACGCAACAGTTGTGGGTGTGTTTAGAAAGAGTGGCTAACGATTTAAAGTACTTGACACTCAACAATGGGGCAGCTAAAAGCCGTACCGTGGGCGTCACTCTCTAGCGTCGCCTAGAGATGCTGTGTGTTTAGAAAAAAGCTTAACAATTTCGAGTACTTCGTACTCAACTATGGGAGAGCTCTGAGCCGTCCCGCTAAAAGAAATGCTGTGTTTAAGAGAATTTTATTTGTGAAAAAAGCATACATACACAGAAGACATTTATGCGTAACATTTTTAGTTATCAAGACATTGCTAATATATCCTAATATGCATTCAAATGCACAACAGGAACTGTTTGTACCTGTAAACAGAAATTCTGACGTGCATAAACAAAACTATGCGCAGGGGTATACGTAAAAATTATGAAAAGGAACAAAAAAACATTGCGAAAATGCGTATAAGAATAAATAAATTCTTATACAATACTAAATGCAGGCTTAGTAAAATCACAAACGCTAGCCTACCTTCTCATAATGAAGGCAAGTCATGGACACTTTGTTTTTTCTGAGAAGAACAAATTGTGTTGACCACCGCAGGAGGAAAGCTTCCTCCCACAGTATGAATAACTGTTCGTTCAGATGTGTTAACATCATGGTTCCTAAGCGATGTAGCAGAGGA